ATAAGCGTTTCCATAGAAACATACTGAACTATTGAGATTTCTCCTTTCCTATTATTTCAGATTCCTCTGCATACATGGATTTGGTTCTCATTTATCCAGATCTTGCATTTCCCCAGATCTTGTGTTGTAATTCTCTCTACTTAAGGATGGATACGTATGCAAATAAATCCTTGTAGTTATTCCAATGGTTATTGGTGTATAGGTTGATTAGTTTGCGATCTTGGTTTTTCAGCCGCATTTCCATGGATATATATTGTGTCAGATTTATATGTTGCCATAGTAATGCGTCTTTATTAGATTGTTCTGATTGAAAATCCATGTTCACGTAGGTTTCTACCATGGCTGAGCATGAGGGGATCTCGCATGGATAATCCTATGGATATTTGTTCTGATGGGAGTACTGACAGGAGCTTCGATGAACATTCGGACAGCAGCTCAGATGAAAGTGTTGTCTAATGAAGGAGGGTACACGAGCTCTGATGAAGGCGCGTAAAAAGGGGCACACAGCTACGAGCTCTGCTGAAGGTAGATTTATACATATGGCCCTGAGCTAGATACCATATGCTCCTGCTTTCTACCATGTGAGCCTGATCATATGTATGTCTGAGTCAGACTCACATGTCTTGATTATCTTGAAAGTCCAGTATTTGTCTCTGATGGAGGCACCCATGGTACCATATGTTATAAAAAATAGGAGAACATGACCGTCAACAATAGAAGTAGAATGTGTGTTGGCACATTAACTCAGGACTATTCATGTTCATTCAATGTTTCTATTGTTTGTTTTGTCTAGTAATAATGCTAGCTCTCCTAAGTCTGTCAGCCCCATTCTCACTTGACTTGAATATGAACCTGAACCTGGGATCATATGTAGCAAAAAAAACATGTGAACATGATCGTCAACAAAAGAAGTTGATCTTGTAACAGCATAAATAAACTGATATTATTCGTTCAATATGTCTATTGTTTTTATCCAGTAATGCCGAAACGATTCAGCCTTGGGTGATTTTTGTTCTTATAGTTTCCAAAAAAAATCTCCAAGAAAATATTATATATATTCTCACTTGTGTTTCGAAAACAAAAAACAAAACATATATATTCTCACATCAGCGTCGGCACCATGGAATCACAAACAAGCCTGACACTTTGCTTAAATGCACACATGAATATATATTATATATTTCCCCAACCAGGCAATGCCCCTTTTCATTAATTGCTTAACGCAAATACAAAACATCCATCTCTTCGGTTAGACATGAATATGATCCTCACCAAGTTAACAGGAAACATCTGCATTCTGTTATATAAAGTGCATCTGCATAAACTGGTTTCCTCTTCAGTTGCTTTTTTTGTAGACAGAGATCATTTCGTTCCAGATAATTGACAACTGATTGATAGGTTCGCATAAGTATATCACAGGTCCGAACAAGGCACAATGCAAAACAACCGTTAGTATTAACCCACCACCCTTTTATTGAATTTGAACCCTTCTGCCTTACGTCATACAAGCAGCAGCCCAGACAACTCTTTCATACCCAACAACTGGGGAAGAGTGTTGCATCTGCAGCAAAGCATTCCTTGTATAGAATGCAGGCACAACACATGACTTAAGTCCTTCCTCCCTCCTGACCCCTAGAGCCGCCGCGAGCGCCCGTGCTTGCGCCGCTATTTTGTTGCGCCAACATTTGCAAAACCAAAGCAGCGCTTGTAAATAATCTTTGTACGTGGATTCAGAGGATCTATTCATATACCTACAATTTTGTCTTGTTTCAATTTACAGACTAAATTGCTTTGTAAATAGCCTTTGTATTGATTTAACCCTCTAACCAGGTTCTGTTTCAACACTTAATTTCCTGTTTGCAGGTAACTGACTGGAGATCTATACTGATGTATCCATTTTGTCTGTAATTTCAGGCAGCCTGCATTACAAACCGGCTTACTATTGCTTCGAAGTAAGCTAGACAATTTTCAGAAAAATGAAAAAGGAACCCACTTGTCACTGGTTTACTAAAACAAAATTCCTCATAAGGATTTCATTGTCTTTGGCACGAGGTCAGATTTATCTATGCATACGTTTTCTGTTGCTTGGATCATATCCACAAGTACATCTCTACTCGATCAAGGGCTGTAGCACACTAGCGCACAAACCTTTATGCCCTGTTTGGAATGGATATAACTTTTATGTGGGCACCAATTTGAACTAAATACATGTCAGGATCTTGGTAGGTTGGTAGGGGAATTTGGGAATTGTCCTGACCGAAGAAGGGGACTGGGGATCGAAAGATTGAGAAAAATTGTGAGATATAACTCTATCAGCTATTGTAATCTCCTGCACAATTTTGCTGGGAGCAATTCATCTTGATATTTTATAGTCTGATTGGTCGAAAAACTATTATAATAGGTGGAGTTAACTCTTAATTTCCTATATGTTTACATGAGCTAACTGAATGTCTACATGAGCCTGTACTGTTGTACATGAGGTTGAGCATGTGTACGTTTTACATGAGGTTGAGATTATGTATGTCTACATGGGTTGGGCCGCATTTGCAACTAAAGACGTTTCTTTGGTCATTTTCTAACATGAATTGCATTATACTTGATGTATATAGAATTTCCAAGGCAGATGCGAACGTCCGCATGTGCCCGCGGGCATAGTGGGCAATCAGAAGTTGCGGCCATGGGACGCTGCTAATTCCGTTATTACAGTTGTGGACGCTGCGGATGGATGCGAACACGCAGTAGGCACGTCGGCCAACATAATGATTTGAATGAGCTAGAGAGCAGGTTCAGGGTAACATTATATCACGCCTTCATATACTAAGACTGGGAGTATAATAATACACCTGGAACTACATGACATCAAATCCATGACAACGTACATGATACCTATAAAGTAGCTGAGGCAAAAATAGTTATTGTTTTTCTAATACTAAGACTGGGAGTATAATAATACACCTGGAACTACATGACATCAAATCCATGACAACGTACACGATACCTATAAAGTAGCTGAGCCAAAAATAGTTCTTTGTTTTTCTGCACCAAAATACAATTGTGGAGACCTAGAGACAGATAATTTATGGGCCGGTGAAAGAGGTTGGGGACAAATTGAGATGCCAGAATACCTACGCATATCATAAAGAGATGAGAAATGGTAAACCTGTTAACATTGTTCAGTGCTTAAACAATCCGAAAATGGTATTGAGAAATCTATCCTGGTCGTCCAGTTTATAGAAAGAAAAGAGAAGTGAGCTTAGAAAGACTTTACACAATGCTAATTCATCAAATAAGCTTCTGCCAGAAACAAGCATGTATTACAGATTCAATAATTAGCTGTGTTGCATGGAGAACTATTGAGCACTCATGGCCATATATAATTTTCACAAGCTGCGATTATTGTCAGACCTCCAGTGACAAAGCTATAAACTACCTAATGGACCAAAATGAAGCTTTCAACACTCTGCATACCATTTTGCCCTACTACAATGGGATGAAGCTCTGAAACTGTGCGTACCAAGATTTTCATTGGACCATTCAGGACTTTGACAAAAGATAAAAAACAACATTCAGCTCCTGCGTTTAAGGCTTCCTCAATAATAAACCAATACTTGAGGATAGAATAATCTGAAAACCATATACGAGAACAACTGAAATCAATATTGCAACACCTCTAAAACCGTAAAAGCTATGATCTGCCTCGAGCAAAAGAAAATTACATGGACACTTGTTACTGAAAAAACTTAGCAGCTCATATCCACATGGAGTAGAAACTATTTGCAAGAAGAAATGAGACAAGTGATGAATTAGCATATTCATCAGTTCAGAAAACCAATTTTACACTCAAACATAATAACTGAAGCCAAGAATGCAGCCATAGTCACCGTGGACAAAAGTAAAACAAGACACATATTGCTGAGATATACTTATATAAGGAACCACATGAATAGAACATACAGATGTGTCGCGTGCTTATCGAAGGCACCTAAAGATCAATTACCTCAACAGCTCAGCTTTGCTTATAGAAGGCACAGTCGTGTCGCGCTTTCCCTTGAATCTCACTAACATCCATATGTTGATCATCTGACAATGATCAAACATTTATCTTGAAATCAGCCGAACACAAATGTATTTTAAGATGAGGAAGTTATTCGTTCAACAAAGTTAGTTTGGCCTAGTCCCAGAGTTCTTAAACCACAGAAAGGAACCTATCACCATTTTTTTGTCTCTTTGTGGGCTCTTCAAAATAGAGAAGAATACAAAGTTTGTTAAAAGCACACATGTTCAGAACCAATTGTAGATGAAATAAAGCTCAACATTCAATATGCTATGCTAATTCACCAATTTAAAACCAAGATGCAATAAAAACAGCTTGTACATACCCATAGAAATTGGTTCTGAACCTCCAATGCATAGTCTGTTCTGTACCAGGTGCACAATTCATGTTTACATTAGCATGAATCGTAACATCAAAGTGCAGGAATAAACTTACTATGTTCACATGAGAAAGAGAGAGAGGCACCTTGTTCTTCACCAAATTCTTCCATTGGATTCTTCTGTCGCTTTTCTCTTTCATATCTGGCATATTGTGGTATTTATATAAACTGTATATCAGGAAATCAAAACCAGAGATATGGGGAAAAACAGGTATAGAGAGAACACCTCTCGCTGCCTCTGTGGAATTGCTTTGGAGGGTGTCTTGTTATAAAAGAAATCATGCGATGCATTAAAAACGCAAAATAAAATAATTGGTGCATGCTAAGAACTGGTAACACATTCTACATGATAAATATTTGCCTAGCCCTTGTCACACATGGTCAACATAATGACACAGTGTGTAGACCTCGTAAATTACGTATGGCATGTAGAGCATCTTGTTCATAGGCGTTCATGAAACAACACGAGGCAGAGCTCCAAAAGAACTCCCTTCATAGCACTAGACCAGAACAGTCCCCCGAAAGGTCGAGCAATAACCCAGTAAGGGGTAAGGACAGACCCGTCCCCTACGACCTCACATAGATACAAAAGCGACCACAGACACAACGAGCCACCACATCAGGCTGGGAAACAATAAGAAGTCCAGTGGACCCCTTGTTCCAGTGGAACAGATCAGTTGAACAGCGAAAGAAACTACTGCCAGCAAAAACTTGATTTTGTGCATCCTTGTCACAAGAAAAGATCTGAACACTATGAAAGTCAAAAGCAAGTAAGTCATGCATTTGCCTCTGCGGCAAATCTAGCAACATGAAATCCTGGAGCACTTGCTAGCTGCATTGCCGCTATGCCTGGTAATCTTACCTTGTACAGAATCCCTTTACTAAAATTATTGAGACAAAGAACTGCATCTCATTAGTCACCATCCATCCGACAAGGACTCATCCGCAGAAAATTGAACTACCGTCCTGTCAAAATTTAATGAACATGTAATGCACCAGTAAGCTTTATGCATCTCATTACTAATTACATACTATGGCTAGATGAAATTAGCAGTCTTAGGTGTACAGAATACATAGCACCCTAGAGACAAGAGCAAGATGCCATGGAGTGAGGAGGGCAGGTGGGGGAAAGGGCCATGTCTGACAGATAGATGCAACCTCAAAGGCAAGAGAGAAATGGTTGGGGACTCACCTGCGCATTTGGTGGCCGTGAAGATGCAAGCTACTCGAGCACAAAAGCATTGGGGTGTGAGCTCGTGCACCAGCTGCGGTCGCCGTCGCCCACCCGATGAGGCTGTCGTCCGCTGCACCACCACATGAGCCACCTATGGCCCTCGGGTTTGCCACGGTCGAGTCGCAAGGACGGCGTCGAGAGCGGGTGCCGCTGTGCCAGCTCGGCAAGCCGATGAGGCTGGCATTGAGGACCAGGTGAGACCGGACGCGAGGGCCCAGGAAGAGCGCCGCGACACCTTGGCAGGGGCGACAGGACGAGCGCGCGGTCCTATGGCAGAGAGTGTGGTGGTGATGAGGGAGGAGGAGGAGGGAGGGTGTGGCGGCGGTGGACTGGTGCGGCGCCCCGGTCGATGTGGCGCATGCGCCCCGGCCGTCGAACCTGGTGGCTTCCGGCGGCGGAGGAGAGAGGGAGGACGGGGAGGGGAGTCGCCAGGTTGGGAGAGGAGAAGGAGTGCAGCGGCGGACGAGGAAAGGAGGAGGGAGTGTGTGGGGTCTGTGGATTGGGGTGCTAGGGTTCACTCCCACGCCTAGCCAACGCACGTCTCACGCGCGGCGCGCAATGAGTGGACGGTAAAATCCTTTTGCACATTGGCACCGTTGACCCAGCCAAGAAACGCGCGATACGAGCTCACCCGTCATTGGCCGACGAAAACGACCGTGAGGTAAAATCAGGTTTGACCCATATGAAGATCCCACGGCTCAGATGCGCGAGAAGGCAAATCGGACGGTCAACGAAACCCCAATTGAGGAAGCTTCGTGGAGGCAAGTTGGGTAGCATCCTTATAGGTTTAAATAATGAGACAACCATAAGGCTCCTGTCGGTTGCCAGTAACTTTTACAAAACATGATCATCTCATACAATAACGTATATCACATCATGTATTGACCATATCACATCGCAACATGCCCTGCAAAAACAAGTTAGACGCTCTCTACTTTGTAGTTGCAAGTTTTACGTGGCTGCTACGGGCTTCTAGCAAGAACCGTCCTTACCTGCGTATCAAATCCACAAGGGTGATTTATTAAGTTTGCTGTTTTAACCTTCAACAAGGACCGGCCGCAGTCAAATTCGATTCAACTAAAGTAGGAGAAGCAGACACCCGCCAGCCACCTTTATGCAAAACTAATTGCATGTCTATCGGTGGAACCGGTCTCATGAACATGGTCGTGCAAGGTTGGTCCGGACCGCTTCATCCAACAATACCTTCGGATCAAAATAAGACGTTGGTGGTAAGCAGTATGATTACAACTCTTTGTGTTTTATTCGTGCATATCATCTACGCATAGACCTAGCTCCGATGCTACTGTTGGGAAACGTAGCATGCAATTTCAAAAAAATCCTATGCTCACGCAAGATCTATCTAGGAGATGCATAACAATGAGAGGGGGACAGTGTGTCTACGTACCCTCGTAGACTGAAAGCAGAAGCGTTGGACAACGTGGTTGATGTAGTCGAACTTATTCTTGTTCCAACCGATCAAGCACCGAACGTACGGCACCTCCGAGTTCCGCACACGTTTAGCTCGATGACGTCCCTCGAACTCTTGATCCAGCAAAGTGTCGAGTAAGTAGATGAGTTCCGTCAGCATGGCGGCATGGTGATGGTGATGGTGAAGTGGTTCGCGCAGGGCTTCACCTAAGCACCATGAAAATTTGACCAAGGGTGTAATCTATGGAGGGGGCGTCGCACATGGCTAACATATGTTGTTGTGTGTTCTAGGCACCTCCCCCCTCATATATATAGGTGGGGGGGAGGGAGCAGCCAAGGGGGCGCCCCAAGTAGGTTGAATCCTACTTGGGGTTCCTCCCCAATTCAGCCCCCCTTTCCTTTTTCACCAGAGGGAGAAGGAAAGAGGAGGGAGGATAGAAGGAAGGGGGAGGCCGAATCCCTCCCCTTCCTTCTCTCTTCCCCTCTTTCCATTCTCCTCTGGTGAGGCCCATATGGGGGGCGCAGCAGCCCCTGCTGGCTGCTGCGTTTCCCCTCTTGGCTCATTAGGCCCATATCTTTGCCAAGGGGTGCCCGGAACCCCTTCTGATGCCCCAATATGTACCCGGTACCATCCGGAACACTTTCAGTGTCCGAATACTATCTTTCTATATATCAATCTTTACCTCTCACCATTTCGAGACTCCTTGTCATGTCCAGGATCTCATCCAGGACTCCGAACAACATTCAGTCACCAAACCACATAACTCGTATAATACAAAATCGTCATCGAACGTTAAGCGTGCGGACCCCTACGGGTTCGAGAACTATGTAGACATGACTGAGACACATCTTCGGTCAATAATCAATAGCGGAACCTAGATGCTCATATTGGTTCCTACATATTCTACGAAGATCTTTATCGGTCGAACCGTTATGACAACATACATTATTCCCTTTGTCATCGGTATGTTACTTGCCCGAGATTCGATCATCGGTATCTTCATACCTAGTTCAATCTCGTTACCTGCAAGTCTCTTTACCCGTTCCGTAATATATCATACCGTAACTAACTCATTAGTCACTTTGCTTGCAAGGCTTCTTATGATGTGCATTACCGAGAGGGCCCAGAGATACCTCTCCGATACTCAGAGTGACAAATCCTAATCTCGATCTATGCCAACCCAACAAACACCTTCGGAGATACCTATAGAGCTTCTTTATAATCACCCAATTATGTTGTGGCGTTTGATAGCACATAAGGCATTCCTACGGTATCCGGGAGATGCATAATCTCATAGTCAAAGGAATATGTATTTGAAATGAAGAAAAAAGCAATAGCAATGAAACTGAACAATCAATATGCTAAGCTAACGGATGGGTCTTGTCCATCACATCATTCTCCTAATGATGTGATCCCATTCATCAAAATGACAACACATGTCTATGGTTAGGAAACTTAACCATCTTTGGTTAACGAGCTAGTCTAGTAGAGGCTTACTAGGGACATGGTGTTTTTTCTATGTATCCACACATCTATCAAGTTTCCGGTTAATACAATTCTAGCATGAATAATAAACATTTATCATGATATAAGGAAATATAAAATAACAACTTTATTATTGTCTCTAGGGCATATTTCCTTCAAGTCGGCCATCCAAACAACTCATGATATGTACTCTTAATTTTAACCACCTCAAACCAAAGTGTCTCAGCCATGTAATTACACTCATCACCAAAGGCCACTTCCAGTGCAATCTTCCCCACAGGTTAAGCCGACTTGCCAAGGACAACTCCGTGAAAGACGGTAGAAGACGGCTTAAGTTCCTTCTTTGTCAGATTCATCCGCCGAAAAGTATCATAGTACAATATGTTGATACTGCTTCCACCATCCATAAGTACCTTCTAGAACTTATAACCGCCCACTTGAGAGGCTACCACCAGGGCTAGATGACCCAGATCATCAACCCGGGGCGGGTGATCCACCCGGCTCCACGTTATCGTGTGCTCTGGCCATCTCAAATATTGAGGCACCGCCGGCTCAACCACATTGACAACCCGCTTATGGACCTTCCGGTCATGCTTGCACGTGCTCGTAGTGAAAACATGATATTGGCCATTGTTAAGCTGCTTGGGATTACTCGGCGATACGTCTCCAACGTATCTATAATTTTTTATTGTTCCATGCTATCTTGTGTGTTTTATATGCTATTTTATATGATTTTTGGGACTAACCTATTAACCTAGAGCCTAGTGCTAGTTTTTGTTTTTTCCTTGTTTTTGAATTTTGCAGAAAAGGAATATCAAACGGAGTCCAATTGAGCTAAAAAATTATGATGAAATTTATGGACCAGAAGAAGCCCCTGAAGCAAAAGAGTGGGGCCAGAAGAGCCATGAGGCCTCCACAAGGGTGGAGGGCGCGCCCTACCCTCCAGGGCGCGCCCTCCGTCCTTGGCACTGCCTCGTGGACCCCCCCCTGACTTGTTCTCGGTGCCAAAAACTCCTATAAATATAGGAACCCCCAGAAATAAACCTAGATCGGGAGTTCTGCTGCCGTAAGCCTCTATAGACACCAAAAACAAATTGGGACCCTGTTCCGGCACCCTGTCGGTGGGGGAAATCATCACCGGTGGCCATCTTCATCATCTCGGTGCTCTCCATGATGAGGAGGGAATATTTCACCCTCGGGGCTGAGGGTATGTACCAGTAACTATATGTTTGATCTCTCTCTCTCTCTCTCTCCCTCCCTCTCTCTCTCTCTCTATCTCTATCTCTATCTCTATCTCTATCTCGTGTTCTTGATTTGGCATGATCTTGATGTACCGCGTGCTTTGCTATTATAGTTGGATCTTATGATGTTTCTCCCCCTCTACTTTCTTGTAATGGATTGAGTTTTCCCTTTGAAGTTATCTTATCGGATTGAGTCTTTAAGGATTTGAGAACACTTGATATATGTCTTGCATGTGCTTATCTATGGTGATAATGGGATATTCACATGATCTACCTGATGTATGTTTTGGTGATCAACTTGCGGGTTCTATGACCTTATGAACTTATGCATAGGGGTTGGCACACATTTTCGTCTTGACTCTCCGGTAGAAACTTTGGGGCACTCTTTGAAGTTCTTTGTGTTGGTTTGAATAGATGAATC